CCTGACAAGGAGGAGGCAGCCATGGAGGAGAAAAAGAGAAAAAAACCAGAGCCGCAGCATCCTAGCAGCAGCAGCAGCAGCAGCAGCAGCAGCAGCAGGGAGAACAAGACAGCAGCTAGTTATATAAAAATAAAAAAAAAATAAAAAAAAAATAAAGAAAGAGCGGAGACCTGTATTCTATAGAAGAAGCAGCAACGAAGCAAATGTTTTAATAAACTGCAGCAGCAAACACACAACATATAACAGCAACCAGAGACAGAGAGAGAGATAGGCTATACAGCGCGGAGCAGCAGCAGCAGCAGCAGCAGCAGCAGCAACAGCAGCAGCAACACCAGCAGCAACAGCAGCAGCAGCAGCAGCAACGGGAGCTGCAGCGGACCAGCAGCGGCAGCAGCAAGTGACCTGCCGCGATCATGCTGCTGCCGCTGTGCTGCTGCTGCTGCTGCTGCTGCTGCCGACTGACGCGCGAGCAGCAGCAGCAGCAGCAGCAGCAACAGGAGCAGCAGCAGCAGCACAACAGTTATTTGTTGCAGCAAATATAAAATAAATATATTTATTTTCTTTCTGTCTCAGGTATTTACTTTGTTTATTTTTGTTTTTTCTTTTCTACTACCAGCTGTCTATACACCCGATCATCACCACATACCATCAGCAGCAGCAGCAGCAGCAGCAGCAGCAGCAGCAGCAGGAGCAGCAGCAGCAGGAGCATATCTCGCGTGTTATTTATCATAAAATCCCGGAAAAAAGCTGAAAATAAATTAAAGAATAAAAAACTAAACAATAAAATGTCAAATTTATCTATTTATTTATTTATTTTCTCGTATATTTCTTCTTTTTTCCTGCCGCTTGCTGCTCAGGATTTCGTTGTTAGCCCAGATATACTACTAGCAGGGTCACCTGCTGCTATGCTTTTTGCTTTTTTAGATACACAGGAGGATTTCTCTGGTGCTTCTGCTGCTTTAGCTGCATTGCCGTCGGTGTGTAAGACAGAGGGGCTGGTAGAAGCACTAAAAACCAGCAGCAGCAGCAGCAGCAGCAGCAGCAGCAGCAAGGAGAATGCAGCAAATGTTGATTGTAATCTCACTGGA